GTCTTCTTCTTCGTCGTGGCCTTCTTTGCAGGTGCGCGGCGGCTTCTCCAACCTCAGGTCCGCTATGGCGGACTACAACCTTCGGCGGCCACCTCTGCTATGGCGCATCACCCTTCGACACACAACTCGGCGCGCATGGAATAGCGGGTACCAGCTCCGATACCAATGCAATCAGACTCGTTCTCATTCACACTTTTCATGCATGTAAACATAAGTGCAGCAAACTGGCGACATGCGCCCACTCAAAACTCAGAGATATGGCATCCAGATAAGAGTTCACTTTCAACTGGCTATGGTGACTCAGCGCCCAAACAACTCACTGTTCACATACACCGGATCACCCTGGATATCCCACACGCGTAACTCTGAACACTCGCACATACACACACACACTTTACACTGACTACAGCTATGGCTGCCTCTACCCTATCGCTATACTAAGCTCCTTCTCTCTCGCCCACTGCGTCCTCCGGGCTCACTGCAGACCTCCTTGCACAAGTCGTTGTGGCCGCGCTTCCGCATGGCTCACGCAGGAATGAATGAAAGGCTGGACGCTGCCTCTTGATTTATACTTCGGAAACTCGTTGGTCTGCCCATCGGCCCATGGTGCTCACAGTCCCCCGTGGTACTTGCTGGACCGGACTGGGACTGACTGGACCTTACCGCTGACTGACTGTGGACTCACTGCTATCCTACCGAGGTTGGACTGCAATTGCACTGCAGTTTAGTCCATCACTTGACTCGCCACTTGACCACTTGCCCACTTGCCGACCTTCTAGAAGGACTACAGCTAGACTTCTGGAACTCGGTAAGACTTCTACTCTATAGATCTACAGATCGAACCCCTGCTACCTATGGACCTATGACAGACCTACCAACTGTCTACGAATACACAGGTCACAGGTTCAACTCTCGGGGTCTACATAGATACTGTACATGGGTAGGTTGAGGTCTAGGGATCGAGCCCTAGGATCTGCATCTGTTACTGCAAAGAGGTGAAAACCGTCTCATATTTGTTGCGAGAGAAAAAAAAATTCAGAGATTTGACGAATTCCTACTTGATTTACTAATGAGTAATCAATAGATCAAGCAAGCTGGCTACTTGATTGAGCGGGTCCTCTGATTGAGAGGTCCGCTTCGATACCAAACTGTTGCATACCGTGAAGGTGCAGACCAGAACAAGAACCGACCTCTCTCACAAAGTACAAGATAGCGTAGCGGAAGACTTAGATACCAATGATCCGAACAATCAATATTGCAATGCAGCCTCAACACACATCATCATCATTCCATGGTGGGGCGCTCACACAGAAAGAATGCGCCAGTCCCCGCCATACACAGACGAAGAAGAGGGGGGTTAGACAAAGAAGAGGGGAAGATGGGAATGTCGTCAACACCAAGTCTGCGATACAGGTCCCAAATAATCCCCGTCAAATGTTTGAATCCCAACGTCGAGTCTGGATCCAATGTCGTCCAGTCTGGATCCAATGTCGTCCAGTCTCAAGTCACAACTCTCTCTCTCTCTCTCTCGTAGTCCGCAGATACTGAGAAGTCAGGTAGTGAGAGGGTGAAGAAGAGACGGTGGACTTAGAAGAGGAAGAAGAAGAACTCTCTCTCTCTCTCTCTGTCCATTACTAACCTGTGAAGTTGGCGCCTTGATGCAGGTACCTCGAAGATGGACCTGGAGCTATGGCGCCACAGGTAAGCCTCACTGGCCTCCGCCAGCCATCTCTCTCCAACACTACTACTACTACTACTAGCGCCCTGCGCTGAAGACTACTGCAGCTACTAGCGCCCAGCGATGAAGACTACTGCTAGTGCCAACGCTACTCCTGCAGCGCTCCTCCAGAGTGCTGCGGCCGAATCCTGAAGACTGCCTCCTGCCTTCTGCCTCTGACTGCTTGCAGGCTGCAGGGCGGGCCAGTCTTATATAGGGGTGGCCCGTCCAGGAGGCTGCTCTTGCCAATGCCAAAACGTGCCAGACCCTGGGGTTGAAGCTCAAACGAAGGTTGTCTTGAAAATAGGCCAAAAATGGCCTGAGCTAAAACCCTGGTCTGGTGCCAGTTTCAGAGCAGGTCGAACTGATGAGGGCCTGAAAATGGCCCTCAGTTTCAGGCTGAAATACTCAGGGTCGGAAAGGCCTTGATTTAGCCTGAAACGACACAGGGCCTGTAGGCCCTTGTTTTCAGGCTTTTAGGCTGAAAACGATGCAGGGCCTATAGGGCCCGTACTTTCCTTGTTTGGTCGGGCCTTGCAGGCTCGTGTGGATGCGCAGTATGCCACACATGGGGTATCAAGGTGTGTCAGGTCGGTCAAAGGGGTGGCCACTATAATATAATTCTTGACAAAATTGTGGTCGTAGCCGATCATCCCCAAGAAGGACCTCATCTCAGTCACAGACTGAGGAAGGGGCCAGTCACGAATGTTGGCCACCTTCGCGTCATCGGGCTTCAATCCCTCTGCGGAAATCTCATGACCCAAATACAAGATCCGGGTGCGGCCAAACTCACACTTCTCCCCGTTGATCTTGAACTGGTGCTGTCAAAGGAGGCTAAGGACTTCGTCTAGATGGCCAACGTGCTCCTCAACAGTCCTACTGAAAATAAGTATGTCATCGAGGTACACAATGACAAACTTATCCAAGTAGTCATGAAAGATCTGGTTCATAGTGTGCTGAAAGGTGCCAAGAGCATTGCAAAGGCCGAAAGGCATCACCACAAACTCGTATAGACCATACCTGGTCTGAAAAGCGATTTTGTGTTGATCTTCGGACCGGATTGCAATCTGATGGTACCCGGACTTCAGATCTATCTTACTGAAGTACCGGCACCCTTGCACTCGGTCCAATAAGTCATCTATGCGGGGTAGGGGCTCTGCGTTCTTCACAGTGATTGCATTGAGGCCCCTACAATCAATGCACATCCTCAAGGTCCCCCCTTTCTTCGGTACAAATAAGACTGGCGATGTATAAGGGGAGACACTCTGCCGGATCCAACCCTTCTCTACGAGTTCCTTGAGCTGTCAGCGAAGCTCATCGAGCTCATCCGATAGATCCTACCCTTCGAAATACCAGATCCTGGAATAATCTTTATCACGTGGACGACCTCCCTCTCGACAACTACTTTCGACTCTTCAAATAGATCAGGGTACTTAGCGACTACTCCCTCTATCTCCAATGACATTTTCACCGGCTCGCCTGCTGCAGAGACATAAACTAAGTACATACTGTCGTTCGGATTTTGCTTATAATAATTATAAAACGCGGCCGCACACATGCATCCATAGGACTCGATTATAATACTAGCTTTAAACTTACGTAATCTAGCGGTCCCCCCTCCGGGCAAAGTGTGTTTGACCACTTTTCTGTCCCAGTCAAACTAGCACTGTGGAACCGAAAGATGGTACATACCTAACAGGATGTCCATCGGGAGATCATCGCTGACTAGGAATGAGACACGATGTCTCATTTCCCCTCCCGCGTACGGGAAACAACACTCAACGTCCTTAAGGTAGTCGTTGACTACCGTGCGCTGTTTGTTGGCACAGGTCGACTCCACATGTCGACTCGGGCGCTGCACTTGCCCCTCTAAGCGCAACCTCTCAACGCACGCGCGACCGATAAAGTTTCGCGTCGAGCACATGTCATAATAGGCCCCGACCTTGCGGCCGTCGACGACTACCTTGCCGATGAACAGCTCACCCTTAGAGGCTTTAGCCATGGCCGTCCAAGAAGCTAGCGGGTCTGATCTAGACCACTCCTCCTCTAGCTCTTCTAAGGACTCGAAACACATTCATCGAACAAAGGATCGATGAGTCATAATGTGTTTGCGGGACGGCAACGGAGTCAGTAGCTTGGGCCATCTCTCGAGATGGTGAGGGTATGTCCACCACCTCGACCCTAGCAGGAACAATTACTATTCCAACTGGCCCGACGTGTTTCCCGAAGCAGTTCCAGAACTACTGGCAACATTGCTACCTATGGGAGCGGAGGATCCCAACGTCTGCCCCATTGTAGACGGAATCTTTTCCGTCACCTTCCTATTGCGGCACTCTATGGGAGCGGAGGATCCCAACGTCTGCCCCATTGTAGGCGGAATTTTTTCCGTCACCTTCCTATTGCGGCACTTGAACTGGTTATGGCCATATTGACCACAACGAATACAGGCCTGTCTGGTGTACCGGTCTCTCCACACGTCCTCTGTGAGACCCGCTTTCTCCCATGGAGGAGCATTGTGGTCAAGTTGACTCTGACGTCTACCAGTCGCCTTGCCTTTTTGCACTGAGGCAGCGACTGGTCCACCCCCTGAAGCCTCTACGCTGCCCACCTCTATACCTACTCCCTCCTGGAAGTCGTCATCTAATTCGATGGTAGAACCATCGTTGTCGACGAACATAATGCGACCCTTTGCCTTCCAGTTAGGAGGCAGTGCTTTCTTCCTTCCATCCGTCGTAGGTTGGTGCCCATGCCCTATCTTTGCATCCAGGTCTAGGGCCTTCTTGCTAAACGAGGGGAAGTTGTGTATATTGATGTTTGCCTCGCCAACCAACTGATTCCTGAGTGGCATAGGGAGACATCTCAGGTAAGTGGTTAGCAAGACCTGGGGTCATAGCGCACTCTAGGTACACATATCAAACGCTCTACAACGTCTGCGGCATCCCTCACTGACTTCAACGCTCTATTGCTCACAGTCAGGATCGCGTCAGTGGCCTTTTGGGCCTCCTGAGGATCATGCCATCTTTCCTCCACCATCTTGAGGAAGTCTTCCAGTTTCTGGTTGACTGCCCAAGCACCGAAGTCATGTCCGTATCCCTGCAGTTGCACTAACCCGCTTAGCCATCCTGCTGCACTCCCCTCAAGATAGGAGGCAGCCACAAACACTTCCTCGTGGGGCAAGGTCAACTTGCACTTAACGTAGACTGGCACCGACCTCAACCATGTGTCGAGGTCTTCGCCCCTCTTGTCCCCTGAGAAGGGTTTAGGTGAGGCGATGACCGTCTTTGGAACCCACTAGCCTTGTCTCGATACTTGTCCCACTCCAGACTGTGGACCCTGGGGTGCAGGCTGCTGCACCAACTGCTGTTGGGGCTGTGTGCCCAACTGTTGTGCTGGCTGCGAGACAACAAGCTGCCCAGTTACGACAACCTGCGACGGAGGTTAAGAATACAATGACTTTACAAGAATCTGTACACTAGGACCTGCTGAGAACCCTCCTGTCAAAGGCATTCCTACTAATTTCCTAGGGAAGCGGCATGTACCAACTGAAGGATTGACAAATGGGGATACTCCAGTCAACGGTGGGACAAAAGGAGGAGGTTGTACCACGGGCCAGGCACCGGGCCTTGATGGTGATGGTGTCGCCTCAGCTCGTCCGACCAACACGGCCAGGCTCTGTTGGATATCCTGTAAGAGCGCCATTTGGTGATCCTGCATCTCTATTACATCTAGCAAGACCGTCCTCAAGGTCCTCACATCATCATCCATGTCTGTCAGGTCCATCTCCTTTAACTCACTAATATCCTCTTGTCTCCGCTGCATCCTGGCTCTTCTCCTGGTCATCCTCTCTTTTTCTGCCTTTCTCTCTCCTAAAGCATGTTGTAGTTGTGCCTCGCGAGCAGCTGCTCGCTGTATGGCGACCTCCTCGGGGGTCAATACTAACGGCTGGCTTGCCATAACGCCAGTGGACTGACTAAGAGTCTAAGCGACCGTTGACCCTACAGTTCCTGAACTGCTGGCCTAGGAACTTTGTTGTGCAGCAGTTGCCATGGCTTGTGAATGCCCTGCTTGCCTCTGCGGCCCTCGCTCTCCGCTGCTACTGCTGTCTCTCGCTAAGCTGGCGGAACAGAAGTTTGTCGCCCTGTAGTCCTAATGCCAAGTGGCCTACTGGGCGCCTCGCTGATCGCAGGATCCGGTCATCCTCTCTAGTTTCCTCCCTGTCGCTCATAAGCTACAGAACTGCACACCGTCTGCACTAGGTCACTCACTCGATGCCTGCCGCAGCATAATTACAAGACCGATTTAAAAATAAATAAAATAATTAACCGGTGGCTATTTCTGAGTCTATGCATTCGGGTCCAACAGGTAGTCCAGATTCCTAAAAACGAAGCTATTTTACTTTGAGTAGTCCGCAAACAGAGAAGCAATTGAGCAGAAACGGTTTCTACCTATGCTGTCTGTCAGATGTTAACTAATCAAAATAAAAATAGAATCATTTGTTGGGTCTATTTGCAGAATGGAATTTTGCCCGAACTTATTACCTGGAATCTTCCCCTTCCTCAGTTCTCTTCCTGAAAGTCACTTGACGTCAGCGTTCCTTAGCAATCCAGATAGCGTGCGTGTCTAAAGGTGTGCACGCGGCCCACCCCTGTGCCCCGAGTGTATGCTCTGAGCTGGCCAGCCCTGCACTATTTTTATCCTCGCGTGCAGCGAGCCTTACACCGACCGATTGGCTGATTAGGAGACGTTTTAGGACGGCCCCCGAAGTCCTCAGGAATTATTTAACGTCGCAGACAAGACGACGATCACAACCGATGGAAGGTACCCCGCCGATGCTTATTTATAGACGCCCGGTACTAGTCTCTCCTGTAGGGCTGGCCTGCCCCTCATCACCCATCTATCAGCGCAGCAAGCAGACAAAGGACAAGCAGCAAAGCATGCATGCTCTACTCCCGGTGGGTTGGCATGGTGACACAGTGCTTCGTCCAGGGCCCTTCAGATAGCGCCGCCCTCTCCTTCCAGATGCTCCACGTGAACAATGCCGACTCTCAAGGTTGAGCGCACTCGACTCCTCACATGAGAGGACTCTCAAGACATAACACACATCCTCACGGTAACAAGTGTCGAAGAGGGTAGATAAGGTTAAGAGCAACTTACCTCAAAATAGCTGCCCCAAACCACAAATATTCTCACCAAATGACCTGGTGCCGACTGTGATGACCAATCGCTGCTCCGGCACAACCAGCATTACACCGTCGTTTCACCTCAGCATCAATCGCACCTCAGATAGTTCTCATCACACTGCGAACACCCAATAATAACCACGTAGCCTTCCCGGCGATACCCCTCACCTCCTGGGTCGCCTGCTTGCCTACGCCCTCCTCACTACACACTCCCTACGGCCGCTCACCAAGCAGACCGCATGCATGTATCGCATAGGCAGAAGACAAGCGCCAGATTAGCGCACCGTACCACAACTCTGATACCAAATTGCAAGGAAAATGAGCGATAGCGAGCACTTCAGAAACCAAGCAGCATCATACACATGAGACTAGATAGTTGTGAACTGGAACCAAAAGCAGAATTGCAACACGAGTTCCACCAAATAAGAGCACAACAAAAGCTCATAAGTGACAATGTTGGAATAGTCTCATCATCATCAACAAAGAACCAATGTCGACATCCTATCTGGCGCTTTGCGCCCAGACTAGAAATGGCAGATCCTATCTAGCCTATCTACAATGCCGCTGGTGACGTCAACAGCTCCCCGAAGTACGAGCAGATCTCGGCCAATGTCGTTCGCCTCAAGCACCAGGTATGTCTCTCGTATCACTCACAACCTCGATCCCCCACTCACAGATGCCACGTGCACCCAAGGACCACCATGTGCCCCATCCAGCATACAGCAGCGCAGCTCGGCTATGGCTGCCTGCTCATCCAGCTCGCCCGTGAGCGCGTGAGCGCTGGCCAGCATTAGCGCAACAGCGCTTGCGCAACATGCAGCCAGTGCCCGAATGAGGAGTATTGGGGCAGGCACTTTCCTAAATGGAAGTGACCTGCCTGCTGCGTGTGGCCTGCCTGCATTGGGCATCGGTCCAGAAGCTTCTGGTAGGCCCCATGAGGCTGAGCCCCAGTCCGAACGAATCAGGCCCAGGGCCTGTGGTGGTTTCCTGTGCCCAACTGCCCGCAGCCTGTGTTCGGCCCATGTTGCGTATCTGGCCCAGGGCCTGCCTTAGTTACATACGAAAAGAGGCAGCCTGGGCCTGGGCGATGTCAACCAACTAGCGCTCCGCAACTGCCTGAATTTCCCCAGTTGCCGGGTGACCCCAAAAATGGGTATGTAGGCCTTGGTCAAGCCTGCCTTCACTTAGGACGGCCGACTATACTGAAAATAGGGCCAAGTAGGGCGTATCGAGGCCTTGAGCCTCGTATTCCCTCCTCCATACTTCGACAGTCCTCTGAGAAGTACCATTACTCAATCTGGCGGTTTCCTTTCTGCAGTGATTCTCATAGTGAGTGACAACATGTGGAGCGGTCTGCATCAGTTCCTCCCTGGTAAACCATCTGTCCTCCTTAGGATCAGTGTGATGTCTGAACCGAACGCGATACTGCAGCTTCGGCTTAGGAGGACGTCCCCTGCCTGTTGGTCTTGGAACTGGCATTTCCCTGTGGTCCACGCAGTCATCGATGTCGACCTCTCCATCCGTGGTTGGGGACAGCATTGAGCGACGAGAGGGAAACTGATCAGTTTCCTCGAAAGGTGCGAGTTTGGAGGCATGAAAGACAGGGTAAGTGCGAAGATGACCAGGGATCTGGATTACATAAGATGGCCCATCTGTCTCTCCCCCAACAACATCCATAACCTCCCATGGTCCGAAGTACTGTGGCATGAGCTTGCGGGAGATCCCGTGCACCTGTCCCAGTTCTGAGGACTTTMCCCAGACTCTGTCCCCTACCTGAAATGTAGATGGGCGGCGGTGTTTGTTCTCAGACTCTATCATTGTCGCCTGTGCCTTATGCATCTGTTCTACTGCCTGCTGCATCAGTTGTTCACAACGATAGGCAAATTCAAGTGTGCCCGGTGCAGCAGTTGGCTGGTTGTCAGGTAGTAGAAAGTCTAGGGGCAGTCTAGGCTTGAAAGTCAGTAGCAGACTATTAGGGCTTACCCCAGTGGCATTGTGCACAGCGTTGTTGTACAGGCTGGCGATGAGAGCAGGTTTCTCATCCCAGTCCACCTGATTGGGCTTAATGTAGTGCCGCAAAGGTGTTGAACAGTGCGGTTCAGCTGCTCGGCTTGGCCATTTACCTCTAGGTGGTTCCCAAAAGTCATCTGCAGCTGTGTTCCCTGTTCTGCAGCCGCAGCCTTCCACAAATCACTGGTGAATCTGACATCCCTGTCCCTCACAATAGACTTTGGAAGCCCAAAGTCTCTGACCCAGTTCTCTTTGAATAGCTTGATCACATACGCGGTCTTAGCTGTAGCAGGCATTGCAACTAATCTAGCATACTTACTAAACCTATCGACAATGACACAGATATATCTCATTCCACTCTTGCTGGTGACCAGCGTGTCCATGAAATCCATAGACAGGCTCTCACCGGGCCTTTCCGGAATCGGAAGGGGCTTGAGAAGCCCAAGAGGGGCCTGTGTACGTGGCTTGTCTCTCAGACACACCTGACAAGTCTCCACGTACAGCTTCACATCTTTCATCATTGTGGGCCACCAGAACCGCTGCAACAGATTTGCTGCAGTCTTCCTATACCCAAAATGTCCGGTGGCATCATGACATTCGCCTAAAAATAAAAGACTCCTGATTTGGAACACACAAGCGTTTATTCCCGGCTTTCTCAAGGAACAGCAGGCCGTTGACCAACACAAACTCGTCAGCAGGTGCTTTGTCTTTTGCCTCGAGTCTGCATATCATCTCGGCCATAAACGGATCCTCGCGATAGGCTTCCACCAAAGACTGAGTAACATCGTCCGCAAGCCCAAATTCAGTGACCAGCGCACCGAGGAAGTCTGGCCTACGCGACAGCACATCAGCAACCTTGTTGTACTCCCCCTTGATGTACTGGGGCTCAAAGTCATATTGCTCTATGACTTCGATCCATCGCTTCAGAGCATCGGAGAGTACCGGTTGAGTCTTCATCCACCTCAGGGTCTGGTGATCAATCCTGACATAGAAGAAGCGACCAAGGAGGTAGTGCCTCCAGTGAGTCAATGCTTTGTAGATCGTGTAGAGTTCGTTCGCATAAGTGGACTTGGCCAGCTTTTGAGAGGGCATTTTTTCTTACATGTACTCTACCGGCCTCAACTTTTTCCCCTCCTGCTGCGCAAGTACGGCACCAATGCCATATTGGCTGGCATCCGTGGTCACAACAAACGGCTTGTCAGGATCGGGTAGTTTCAAGACCTCATGGTGAGTGAGGGCATGCTTCAGATGTCTGAAAGCAGCCTCACACCTGTCTGTCAAGGCGTGTCAGGTCAGTCAAAGGGGCGGCCACTATCTTATAATTCTTGACAAAATTGCGGTAGTAGCCGGTCATCCCCAAGAAGGACCTCATCTCAGTCACAGACTGAGGACGGGGCCAGTCACGGACGCTAGTCACCTTCGCGTCATCGGGCTTCAATCCCTCTGCGGAAATCTCATGACCCAAGTACAAGATCCGAGTGCGGCCAAACTCACACTTCTCCCCGTTGATCTTGAACTGGTGTTGTCGAAGGAGGCTAAGGACTTTGTCTAGATGGCCAACGTGCTCCTCGAGAGTCCTACTAAAAATAAGCATATCATCGAGGTACACGATGACAAACTTATCCAAGTAGTCGTGAAAGATCAGGTTCATAGCGTGCTGAAAGGTGCCAGGAGCATTGCAAAGGCCAAAAGGCATCACCACAAACGGTACAGACTGTACCTGGTCTAAAAAACGGTTTTGTGTTGATCTTCGGACCGAATTGCAATCGGATGGTACCCGGACTTCAGATCTATCTTACTGAAGTACAGGCACCCTTGCACTCGGTCCGACAAGTCATCGATGCGGGGTAGGGCCTCTGCGTTCTTCACAGTGATGGCATTGAGGCCCCTATAGTCAATGCACATCCTCAAGGTCCCCCCTTTCTTCGGTACAAATAAGACTGGTGATGTATAAGGGGAGACACTCGGCCGGATCCAACCCTTCTCTACGAGTTCCTTGAGCTGTCGGTGAAGCTCATCGAGCTCAGCAGTAGACATCCGATAGATCCTACACTTCAGAATACCAGATCTTGGGATAATCTCTATCGCGTGGACGACCTCCCTCTCAACAACTCCTTTTGACTCTTCAAATAGATCAGGGTACTTAGCGACTACTCCCTCTATCTCCGGCGACATTTTCACCGGCTCGCCTGCTGCAGAGACAAAAACTAAGTACATACCCTCCTCTGGATTTTGCTTATAATAATTATAAAACGAGGCCGCACACATGCATCCGTAGGACTCGATCAGACTACTAGCTTTAAACTTACGTAATATGGCGGTCCCCCCTTCGGGCAAAGTGTGTTTGACCACTTTTCTGTCCCAGTCAAATTGGGGTTGTGCAACCGAAAGATAGTACATACCTAACAGGATGTCCATCGGGAGATCATCGCTGACCAGGAACAAGACGCGATGTCTCAGTTCCCCTCCCACGTACAGGAAACAACACTCAACGTCCTTAAGGTAGTCGTTGACTACAGTGGGTTGTGTGTTGGCACAGGTCGACTCCACAGGTCAACTCAGGTGCTGCGTTTGCCCCTCTAAGCGCAGCCTCTCAACGCACGTGCGACTGATAAAGTTTCGCGTTGAGCAAGTGTCAATAGGTACCGGCCTTGCGGCCGCTGATGACTGCCTCGCCGACGAACAGCTCACCCTTAGGGGCTTTAGCCATGGCCGTCCAAGAAGCTAGCGGGTCCGATCTAGACCACTCCTCCTCTAGCTCCTCTAAGGACTCAAAACACATTCATTGAACAGAGGATCGATGGGTCAGAATGTGTTTGCGGGACGACAACGAAGTTAATAGCTTGGGCCATCTCTCGAGATGGTGAGGGTATGTCCACCACCTCGACCCTAGCAGGAACAACTACTATTCCTACTGGCCCGACGTGTTTCCCGATGCAGTTTCAGAACTACTGGCAACATTGCTACCTACAGGAGCGGAGGATCCCAACGCTTGCCCCATTGTAGGCGGAATTTTTTCTGTCACCTTCCTATTGCGGCACTTGAACTGGTTATGGCCATATTGACCACAACGAATATAGGCGTGCCTGGTGTACCGGTCTCTCCACCCGTCCTCTATGAGACCAGCTTTCTCCCATGGAGGAGCATTGGGGTCAACTTGACTCCTAGACCGGGAGGCCTCTATGCTGCCCGCCTCTGTACCTACTCCCTCCTAGAAGTCGTCATCTAATTCGATGGTAGAACCATCGTTGTCGATGAACATAATGCACCAACTGCTGTTGGAGCTGTATGCCCAGCTGTTGTGCTGACTGCGAGACAGCAGGCTGCCCAGTTACGACAACCTGCGACGGAGGTTGGGAATACACTGACTGTACAGGAATCCGTACACTAGGACCTGTTGAGAACCCTCGTGTCAAAGGCATTCCTAGGGAAGCGACCTGTACTGATGCTGAAGGATTGACAAATGGGGATACCCCAATCACCGGTGGGACAAAATGAGGAGATTGAACCACGGGTTAGGCATTGGCCCTGATGGTGATGGTGTCGCCTGAGCTCGTCCGACCAACACGGCCAGTCTCTGCTGGATGTCTTGTAAGAGCGCCATTTGGTGATCCTGCATCTCTACTACATCTAGCAAGACCGTCCTCAGGGTCCTCACATCATCATCCATGTCTGTCAGGTCCATCTCCTCTAACTCACTAATATTTGCTTGTCTCCGCTGCATCCTGACTCTTCTCCTGATCATCCTCTCTTTTTCTGCCTTTATCTCTCCTAAAGCCTGCTGTAGCTATGCCTCACGAGCAGCTGCTTGCTGTATGGAGACCTTCTCGGGGGTCAATACTAACGGCTGGCTTGCCATAACGCCAGTGGACTGACTCAGAGTTTGTGCGACCGTTGACCCTATAGTTCCTGAACTGCTGGCCTGGGAACTTTGCTGCGCAGCAGTTGCCATGGCTGCTGAAGTAGCGGCCTCGCTTGCGAATGCCCTGCTTGCTTCTGCGGCCCTAGCTCTCCGCTGCTACTGCTGTCTCTCCCTAAGCTGGCAGAACAGAAGTCCGTCGCCCTCTGGTCCCAATGCCAAGTGGGCTACTAGGCGCCTCGCTGATCGCAGGATCCGGTCGTCCTCTCTAGTTTCCTCCCTGTCGCTCATAAGCTACAAAACTGCACACCGTCTACACTAGGTCACTCACTCGATGCCTACCGCAACATAATTACAAGAGCGATTTAAAAATAAATAAAATAATTAACCAGTGGCTATTTCAGAGTCGATACATTCGGGTCCAACAGGTAGTCCAGATTCCTACAAACGAAGCTATTTTACTTTGACTAGTCTGCAAACAGAGAAGCAATTGAGCAAAAACTGTTTCTACGTATGCTGTCTGTCAGATGTTAATGGCTGTACATCTTAACTAATCAAAATAAAAATAGAATCATTTGTTGGGTCTATTTGCAGAATGGAATTTTGCTCGAACTTAGCACATGGAATCTTCCCCTTCCTCAGTTCTTCCTGAAAGTCACTTGACGTCAACGTTGCAATCCAGATAGCGTGCGTGTCTAAAGGTGTGCACACGGCCCACCCCTGTGCCCCGAGTGTATGCTGAGCTGGCCAGCCCTGCACTAATTTTATCCTCGCGTACAGCGAGCCTTACACTGATCAGGAGGCATTTTAGGACGGCCCCCGAAGTCCTCAGGAATTATTTACCGTCGCAGACAGGACGACGATCACAGTCGATGGAAGGTACCCCCCCCGGTGCTTATTTATAGATGCCCGATACTCGACTCTCCTGTAGGGCTGGCCTGGCCCTCATCACCCATCCATCAGCACAGCAAGCAGACAAAGGAGAAAGCAGCATAGCATGCGTGCTCTACTCCCGTCGTGTCTAGGCTAGTGTACGTGATAGATAGGATGGGCACATCGGTTCAGGGCTTTTGGCGGTTGGTACCGTGTACATCGCTGCTGTACAACACGTGAACTGGAGGTGGTGACAGCTTCAGCGTTGGAGAAGACGGACATAGCCGGACCTGCGGAGTGTCGGGCATAGCGGGGACTAACACTGTACTCTGACAGCACGCGGGGCTGTTTAGAGGTTTGGGCTATGCGAGGTCTGCTGGAGGCGAGAGAAGTGGTGCCCTGCTCGACCCTCTTCCGGAATAGGGTTACAAGGTGTGTGGCGCTGCAGCCATAGCTGCAGCTTCTTCCTCAGAGATCATCTTGTCAGGAGAGGTGGTGCTGCTGTAGGCTTCCACCCGGGAAGTCATCCGGCACTTCATCATCATCAGACACTGTGGCGCTGGTCTTCTTCTTCATCCCTGAGTGGCGCTTGGCCTCAGAGGCCTGTTTCAGGGTGACGCTTTGGCGCTTTATGTTTCAGGGACTTGTCCAGGGTTGAGGAGTGAAGCGCTGCTCATTTCTGAGCAGCGCACCATAGTTCTGGGGTTATTCTGACAATTCGAGACTCTGAGTTTAATAAACAGTTTGATACTGGGCTTGAACTATCTTTGTTTCATTGTTTCCTAGATGTGATCTACTCGGCTTTCCTTTGTGACTGGTTGTGAGGATTCTGTGGAGTGAAGTGCACTTTCAGTGTTCTCTGTCATATCGCATGGTCAAGTTTTCCGCTGTGTTTATCTCTCTCTGTGCGGTGTGATACTCCCATCCTCTCCCCTTCCTTTCTGTGTATGTATGGGCATACCTGGAAGTCTATGTGTGCGAGTGTTGGTCTTCTGACAACAAGCAACCAGGTTCATAACAGCTGCAGTGGCCATCTCCTGCCAGCTTCACCAAGACAATGTTCGGTTCAAAAGAGTTGAGACGAGTGTCCTGGCCTAAACCCAGCTGTTAGAAGAGAATCTGAAAAACACAGAATGAGAAAGAAACACAAAAAACACACACAGGCATAACCCCTGGAGGAATGCAGTTCATAGTTTTGAATTTACACAAGACACCAGATACTCCGCAAAGAGAGAGCTGAACCCTACCTCGTTCCATAACGCAGTCATTACGTCCACCTGCTCTTCCGAGACTTGTGATATTGCCTCATCCAGCTCCAAGCCGTCCATATCTGCAACAGCAGGATCCTCATCTTCATCACTCAAGCCCAGATCTGCCAACTTCTTTTCCTGTTGCGAAAATCTTGTACTGGGCGCAAAAAGGTTGAAGAATGAAGTACAAGGCTTCACCTTAACAACAGGAGCTCCACCACCTCCATCCCCTGCACCCTTAGACCTTCCCTGCAACAGCAAAGCATTTCGCAGTTGGCCTCCCCAAGGTTAGCAATGTCACCAACTGCATATCACATCTCCATCGTCAAGAGAGAGAGTTCCAGAAACCAGGATGCCATTATAGAGATTCATCGACATTCTCTCAGTATTTTAGACCATACTTGCATCAAGAGTGGGAAACTGGATTCCAGCACAAAACCAATCTCAGAGTCACTTCGACTGTCCCTAATCAACACACACACACACACACACACACACACACACACACACACACACACACACACACACACACCTGGGCGGAGTGTTGGAGTTCAACCTGCTGATTAGTCACGGCGGAAGAACGATGAAACAGTGCTCTTTTTCTGGAGTTGTGTATAGCGAACATGACAACATGCACGCGCGCACGCACACACACACAGACACACACACACACACACACACACACACACACACACACACACACACACACACACATGCGAAGTTTGAGCCGTCTCGGGGCCCTGATCAGACATGCACATGTTCTGGGAAGAGGGCCTCAGCAAGCCCTGTGCCTGCCCTAAGTGAAGGCGGGCCTGATTATTCGCAAGAGGCCAAAATTTGACATTTTTCCATATGTGGGTACTCAGGCAGTTGCAGCACACCAGTTGGTTACAACGAAATGAGAGCCTCTTGGCTCTTTCCGGAAAACATGTGCTGCCCCGTACAGTTGCGCCTGGGGCACACACATTGCAGGGAAGATACATCACAAAGTGACCACGGGCCTACGAGAAAGCAGCATTGTCAACGTACCTATCCCGGGGCCTGTGCAGATGCAGCAAATTGCCGAAGTCTGGAAATCCTGGGTGTGCCCAACAGAAAAGAGCCCAGGCCCCAACTGCAGGGACAGTGTTGCATACTAGTGAAAGTGAACACAAGTAGGATGCAGAACACAGAACCGACCGATAATAGAGAGCAATATAATGCAGCGGAAGACTTGAAAACATGGATTTGACTCACATCTTACTCGGACTACACACCAGACTCACACACATACATTCATCGGGTGAGAAGGCCTGGCGCTCCAAACATGGAAGATGGCGGCAGGGCCTGTACACATCACACATGGACGAATGTAGGGAGAAGAGGCGAAGATGGGGGGAGGAGGAGATGGCGCCAACACAAAGTCACCGAAACAGTAATCCCGAAATGTTGAAGATACAGAATCTCGAAATGCCGCTGGCGTCAGATCTCCAATTAGTCCTCCCAACGCCCAACTCTGAAATAGTCTCAGTCCTGATGTCACCGATATCCCACCATCGATCTCTGTCCCATAGTAACCGAGAAGGTAGAGGGTTAGAAGAAGATGATGATGAAGAAGAAGAAGAAGAAGAAGAAGAAGAAGAAGAAGAAGAAGAAGAAGAAGAAGAAGAAGAAGAAGAAGGTAGGGTTAGAAGAAGATGATGATATGGCAGAATTGATCGCCTTCGTGAGTGTCTGGCAGTCAGTCGCGGCAGCTTTTAGTATCTGCTGCTGCTGGTATGCTGCCTGCGCCTGATGCCGCAATTGCTCCTGCTGCCAGTTCACAGTGTGTAACAAGTGTTTGAGTACATAACCCAATTCTGTTTTCTCCTGTTCCGCCGCTGTCGGTACTGATCGTGCAGCAGATGGCACAAAAGTCCACGCCGTGAGGAGTTCGCTGAAACGCTGCTCCTCATTGTGTAGGATCTGTGTGCTTGCGGCACGCTGTTGCTGTTGTGCTGCTTCGGCGGCTTCCCGCTGTAGCTGCGCCTGGACGGCTGCCTCGTTGGCCAACCGTTGTGCCTTGGCGGCAGCCTCGTTGGCCAGCCTCTGTTGCTCAGCGGCTGATTCTTTGGCCAGCATCTTCTATTCAGCAGTTGCAGTGGCAATCCGCTCCTGTTCGGCAGCAAGAACACGTCGGACGCCTCATCGACGCCTTGGACCGGAAACGCTGGCAGGACCATCGTTCGCCGCCTCCTTGGTACCGTCGGTGTTGGGATGCGTGCTGCCGCCTGTTGCTGTCTGCTGAGAAGAGCTGCTATCCGAGGACTGCGTCGAGGAAGTACCACAGGTCGCTGACCTGCGGACATGAGTTTCTGCAGGCGACTGCAGTGACTGCTATCGGCAGTGTCCTTAGGCCATCAGTGGGAGAGGAGAACAAGGAGTGGGAACAGGGGATAGGGAACAGACAAACATGCAGCTCCCGAATCCCAATGAGGACACACACACTAATCAATAGGAAAAAATTTTCCCCCAGACAATATTTTCGAAAATAATTAAAATTTAATAATTTAATTAATAAAAAATAATGAAATATGCAAGGAAAATGAGCAGTAGCGAGATGACAATATACAGATTGCACAATCACATTGAAAGCCAGATCGTATCACAGTTCAGGAAGCAGCATTGCACCAATATGACACCAATGGAGAATCGTAACACTGAAAACCAATGTCAACGAGAGCTTGCTCTCGCCACCACCAACATATGTATCCAGGCCCTTCCCTCTACTTGGCGCTCGGCGCCCAGCCTACTCCCTACACAGCTACTACTAGCCTACCAATTGACAATGCAACTGTTGACGTCAGCAGCCAACGAAGTGCTTGAAGATGTCGCCCGTAGCAGACCATCGCCATTACCAGGTATGTGCCCTCACATCATCATCATCATCATCCTTCTCTCTCTCTCCCTCGACATACACCCCCGTCTTCCTTCTGTACACCCGAAGACCACCCCCTGCGCCTCACTGTAGACCAAGCCCACCTAGCTATGGAGGATGGGCTATGGCGCTGCCCTCAGCAGCGCCCTTTTCTGCACACAACCGCACGTGCCCGCACCTTGCCTCTCAGCGCCAGCCACAGCCCGCGAGCGTCCACTCCAGCAGCGCTGCCGCTAGAACGCAAGTGCCCGAATGACCAGCCAGGCAGCGAGCTCTTTCCTATATGGAAAGAGCCTGCCTCGATTGGAGGCCTGGCTGGCCTGGGCCTCGGCCCAGAAGCTTCCAGTAGGCCCCAGTATGCTGCGCCTCTGCTGCGGCTACTGGGCCTCCTTCGGTTGGGCCTCTCAACTGTCTGTGTATGAGGCTGCGATTCTTGCCCAGGGTCTGCACTTTCGGAAAGGCCAGGAAGGCCATGGAATTTTCTTGCTGCTCGGACTGTGTTTCCTTTAACAGACTGGCGCGTCGCAACTGTTTGGACCCCCAAATACGAAATTGACAGTCGAGAGACTTTCGTGATTTGTTAGGCCCGCCTTCACTTAGGGCGGGCACATATGCATCAGGGGCTCTTTAGACCTGCCGAGGACCCAGATCCTCGCAAATAAATGAATATGTCGGGAATTAGATGTCAATCCGAGATCAAATAGTGGTCCGAAAGTTTGCTGCCTGCAACCCCTAAGCAAAATGCTAACTTTGAACTTGTTTGCGGGTGAAACTTTCCGGAAGTTGCAGTTCTGCAACTGTGCGGACCTTCCAGCATCGGGAATTCACAAGATGGTCCTGTACGGAGTTCCGGAGGTAAGCAGCTACCAATAAATGCAAAATGGAAGGGGGGAAAAAAAGAAACGCAAAATTTTCGGGATTTCCCGACCTAAAATTCCCCGAATTCCGCGAAATTCCCGATGTCAACCATAAATTAACGTGAATTTCCAGATTGCAAGAATTCGATGTTTTAGCTCTTACCGAATTACAGAAAAAAAATAAAAATAAAAAAAAATTGCAACTTGAAAATTGATGACAACTGCAGATCTGACAAGGAAACAATTTTAATCAACCAATCAATCAACTTTCATTAACTGATCTATCTATTATCTCGCTTCTTACTAGCACTCACTCACTCACTCACTCGCTCACTCACTCACTCACTCACTCACTCACTCCCTCCCTCCCTCACTCCCTCGCTCGCTCCCTCGCTCGCTCTCTCGCTCCCTCACTCCCTCGCTCACTCGCTCGCTCGCTCGCTCCCTTGGAATTCCCGAAGAGCCAATCAATCAATCGATCAGTCTATCTGTGAGCAGATCCAATCTGGTCTGCTCCGATACCAAACTGTTGCATACTAGTGAAAGTGAACACAAGTAGGATGCAGAACCCAGAACCGACCAATAATAAAGAGCAATATAATGCAGCGGAAGACTTGAAAACATGGATCTGACTCACATCTGACTCGGACTACACACCAGACTCACACACATACATTCATCGGGTGAGAAGGCCTGGCGCTCCAAACATGGAAGATGGCGCCAGGGCCTGTACAAATCACGCACGGGCGAATGTAGGGAGAAGAGACGAAGGGAGGGGGAGGAGGAGATGGCGCCAACACAAAGTCACCGAAACAGTAATCCCGAAATGTTGAAGATACAGAATCTCGGAATGTCGAAGTTACTTGATCTCGAAATGCCGCTGGCGTCAGATCTCCAATTAGTCCTCCCAACGCCCAACTCTGAAATAGTCACGGTCCTGATGTCACCGATATCCCACCATCGATCTCTGTCCCATAGTAACCGAGAAGGTAGAGGGTTAGAAGAAGATGATGAGGAGGAAAAGAAGAAGAAGAAGAAGACTGAGGGTTAGAAGAAGATGAGGAGGAGGAAAAGAAAAAGAAGAAGAAGACTGAGAGGGGAAGAGAAGAGGTGGAGATGGAGATGTGGGGCGGAGGAAGATCCTCCTGCCCGGAGCCAGTGCTCAGGCACCAACCTGCAAGTGCAAGGTGCCGTCTTGGAGCCGCTGAAGACCTGCCTTCGACGCTGGAGCTATGGCGCTCACAGGTAAGTGCCAGGTATAAGTCGCTACTCTCTCTCTCTCTCTCTCTAGCCTCTACAGCTAGCGCTAAACCTAGCGCTGCTGCCTGGAGCTGCGCTAACCAAATTAGCGCAGCGTTGTGCGAGGATCTGGGTCCTCAGCAGGCCTAAGGGGCCCCGGTCACAGTGGTGCCCGCCCTAAGTGAAGGCGGGCCTAACATATCACAAGAGGCCTTTGACTGTCAATTTCATATTTGGGGTACAGGCAGTTGCGACGC